GTTACAGAATTTCGGACACATTTGACCAGTTTCTATTGTAGTTACGAGACGTACTTCTTCTATAATGTATGTGTGTAGATAGATCATCCCGAGTTATTCAATTTCAGAGGTATTAGGTTACCAATAAATTTTTCTTTCTTTTTTCGTTCGGGAATTATTTTTTAAAGGTATGCCAAAGAAAAAGTTCTAAGACATAGTAAAAGGTTAATAAAGAAGGGAAAAGCTACAGAGAGAGAGAGATGGAGAGAGAGAGAGAGCATGCGTTTTAGAGCTTCGAGTTTTAAAATAATGTTAGCTAACTAACATTTACTGTAATCTTAAATGCATAATATTCATAAATGCTATATATTTCTTCAATTGAAATATCAGTGTATTGTAAACAATTAAAACTATTTACTTTTTATGTATCCTAGAATACACATAGAGTTGCATGAATTTTAGATATCAACTTCGGATTAGGCATTTTTTTTTATGTTTATAAAAAAGATTTGAAACAAGTATTACGTTCAACATCTAGTGCTGGCAGCAAATTGGAAACTCGACACAAATAAATTCTCAACAATTTTTTCTAATTATAAAATTATTTTGACAAACTTCTTTAAATTATTTTTGCTCAGATGCAGTAGACCTCACGGTCAAATTATGACGTCATCATTGTATCATGTACGTAAGCATGAAAGAAAAGAGCTTAATTTTAAATTCTATATAAAAGAACACACATTAAATGACGATTTAAGATATTCTATCACAAAATTATTGACAAATATGGGATTATATAATTATCAAGAATAAATCTGATGTACTAATAACTAATTTAGGGTATTTACGCATATAATGAACTTATAAATTACTACTGAAATGGAGGATCCTGCTTCAATTTCTGAAACTCAACTTTCATAAATTGTAAAATTCATATTGGCCACACGCGAGTACCTCTGGGATATTTTGCATGAAGATGCATATATGTAATATTTTCATGCATGCAAAATTTGGAAAGGGTACTTGAGTGTGGCCACATTCAAATTTCGAAATAACTGCCGTAAAATCGGCGTTTTTAGGCAGTTTTTAATTTCATAGGTATATTTGTCTCTGCGCATGTGCTAAAGACGATGGCCTGTGTGCCAAAACATTATATGTAGCGTTCCATGACATTGTGCTCTACAAGATAACATATGAAAGGCTTCGTGATTTTAAACTTAAATTTTGTCTAAAATTAAAGGCGGATATTGATAATTCGTGGCTTTAGCTCTTTCTACTTATACGGTATATTACAAATCTGTTGTTAATATTCTATATATAAACGTATTCATTTGAATATAAATATGAAAAATATGTTTGTGTTCTGTGGAGCACTGGCATAGAATGATCTATCATATCACAAACTATCGCCCTCTCATTGGCCTTCCTTTGGCCTCGCCTAAAATAAACAGGCATTTCCAATAAAATACGCTCCTATCATACAATGTTTTCCCGCAAATTAAATACGAATCACTTGAAAACTCTATTATCCACTGCTCCGTGACATGATTAAACGTAAACGTTTTGGACGGACTACCTAACTTCTCAAGATGATTTCTTTTCATTGAAACAAAATATCAGGCCATAATTTGTCATTAGAACGAGGTAACAATTCTTAAATTGAATATTTAGGTTGTTTTGCGATTTTGCTTCATTTTACATGGATTATAACTACAAACATTATTTAGTGTATTGTTCGTAACTTACTAAATTTTTACCGGCTCTGCGACCCAATGTTTGAATCTGGATAAGTTTTGAAAAATCGTAATATTTAAGAAATTAATACAAATCAATTGAATTATCTGTGCCAAATTTGGATAACATGTGACGTCAAATTAAAATGATATGACAAAAGTCCACGATCTTTTCGAACAATCCTCGTATATATTTGAGAAGTAACTTTCCTCATAAATTTACAAGGGCGTCCTGCATTTTAATAATGTGCATGGTATGCATACATGTAAACATGTGTACCATGCACGTTTTTTAATTTGCTCTAATACCTGATGTATAAGAATGAGGTAATCTTTTGCAGAAAATAAGCTTCGACTGTATGAACCTGGGTTGTAATAAACGTTTCATCACGTAAAAACCGTGCCACTTAAATTGTGCCTTGAGGTCAATACGAAATCTATTAAATTCTAGTATTTGTAATACCCTTAAATACAGAAGAAAATAGGTTAGTATTATAATTTCAGATGTCAATCAGTGTATTCAAAATCCATGTAATGGTCACCCATGCATAGACTTAGTTGGAAACTTCAGATGCGACTGCAATGATGGTTTTACTGGTGAGACTTGTGAGGTTCCCCCTGACTACTGTATCATAGCACCATGCCAAAATGGCGGCGTTTGTCAGAATGGAAACAACACCTATGCATGCACATGTTCAGGATCTTACAGGGGAGCAAATTGTGAAATTACTGTCGGTGAGACTTTAATTAAATCACTCAATTTTGAATTTTTGATTAAGATATATCACAAAAGTATCAAAGCTCTTTTCAAACCAGTTGTTTGAATGCTTAATAAAATTTTCTGATAACCCGATGTCCGTCGTCCGTCTGTCCATTCATCTGTAAACTTTTGACATGTTCAACTTTTTTTCAAGAACAACTGGGCTAATTTTAGCCAAATTTTGTACAAAACATCCTTTGGTAAAGGAAGGGGGTTAAATTATTAAAATAAAGGGTCAAGTTCACTTACAAGGGGCGGTAATCAAGAAAAGACAAAAATAGGGTGAGGTCATTATAAAATTTTCTTCTCAAGAATAAAAGAGCCAGGAAAACTGAAACTTATGTGAAAGCATCCATGGATTTCTGTGGCAATTGAGAATCTACACTACTCCAGAATGCTTCCACATAACTTTCAGCTTTCCTGGCTAGGTGGTTCTTGAGAAGAATTTTAAAGGTGTGTCCTATATATTTCTATCTAAGAAGTGGATTCCCTATTGTGGCCCCGCCCTACCACCAGGGCTCATGATTTTAAGAATTGTTTAGTGAAGCTCAATTGTTAGAATAATGTCCCTTGAAAAGGGCGGGGTCGCAATAGGGAATCCAAGTTTTACATAGAAATACAAAGGAAAAATCTTCTTCTCAAAAATCACTGGGCCGGTAAAGCTTAATCTCATGTGGTAGTATCTTGGGGTAGTGTAAATTCTTAAGTATTAAATCATGACAGGGGGAGGGGGTATGGGCCACAATAGGTATAACAAGAGGGGAAATATGGTAAACAGCAACATCACCAAAGTTACTCAGGTGAGCGATGTTCCCGATGGGCCTCTTGTTAAGGTATGTCGAAAATTTTTTAAAGAATTTCATACCCAAGTCAGAAGCTTTGGGGACCTAATTTCTTTAAATAAATTTTTGTTATTTCCTTGTTTGATACATGTTTTTATAGTTTTTTTAAAAAAGAAATTTTCTGTTAAAATGACATGTGGGAAAACAAAAAAAAATTTAAACGATACCAGTGCTTGTTATTTTTACTCTCACAGTACCTATATTTAAGGAAAATCTAAAATATGATGTTTTATACTTCAACAGATTATTACAAAAAAATCACCATAATTTTCTTTTAATCAAGGTTAGCGATAACGCTGTGAGTAAGTGTTTTCCTGAAGCATGCCAAATCTTATAAGAGCAATAAAGGGATTATTGAGCTTCCTGTTATTTGACATAATGTGAAATACTTTAGAAAATGGTGAAGAAAAAACTTAGAAGAGCAAACTTTTAATTTTGAGAAATCTACTAGAATTAGATAACACATTACCAACTTATCGTTTTTTTTAATTTCCTCATTCCTGTTAACCATAACGCTGTCGTCAAGTGTTCTGAAGTATTTGACGACAGATGTTTCCGTAATTTACCGATCACGACAAGGAGCATACAGCGGGTGTGACCGGTCAGCAGGGTATGCCTTGTGGCAACTTCCTTTGAAAAAATTACGCACTTTGAAAAAAATTTTCAAAGTGCGTTAAATTTGGGACGAAATGAACGAACTTTGAAAAAATTTTTCAAAGTGCGTTTAATTTGGGACACACTCAACGCTCTTTGAAATTTTTTTTCAAAGTGCGTTAAGAGTGAACATCAACATTTTTTACCATGAGGAAATTTAACGCAATTTGAAAATAAAAATAATTGTTAAACAAAAATTCTAGACTTCGATTTTAGTAACTGGGAGAATCAATTTGTAATAATTATAACTTTTGAAAACTTTAATTTACGTGAATTGATTTAACCTTATTAGGAACAAGGAGAAGATGAGTAGAACGTCACTCAGCCCAACGCTCTTTTTACATAGCCATGGGTAGCAATTTGAACGAAACCCCCCCCCCCCCCCCCCCCGCACACACAAACACACCCTAACACACACACACACACACACACCGAAAATAAGACCAGATTTTCAAGGCCTATTTTGAAAATTATGTAACTATATCTTTGTAAAACATACGTGTGCTTAAGCACCCCTCCCAGTACCAAATACATATGCTACACCAAAATATGTATTTGCATGACTATAGTATGACGTTGATAACTTTCGATAAATTTTTCGAAAAGGGCATAATCTGACATTAAATAAATCAGATGAAATCACATGGCTTGGAGGATTAGGAATCCCTGTCGACTGGTCACAACAATTATGTGCTTCTTTGGATGATCAGGCAATGGAAAATTGATGGAAAATTGTTTAGGTGAATAATTGTCCTACAATTTGCATGTGGGACAGTAATCTACGATAAGCCTTATTAAATGGATGCATGCGTAGGATGTTAAGTCATGCTTTGTTCACGACTCCCTTGAAGAGGTGAAACCTTAATATGCATTCAACATTTTACTAATTAATATGCAAAGGGGGATCGCTGATTACGAACATGATTATCATATTTATTCAGTTGTGGGACCCTTGGCCTATTGATGGATATTCTTTACATTATTATGTTGTTTTATGTTGTTCTTTTATACATGTTTACTGTTTCTATGTAGTGAACGGTAGGTGGAGTGCATGGAGTGATTTTTCTGAGTGCTCAGTGACATGTAATGGAGGCATTAAGACGAGATCTCGTGTTTGTAATAATCCAATTCCTGATCCTGAAGGACTTCAATGTGACTCTTCACTGTCGACTGAAAGTTTGCCATGTAACACTGAGGCATGTCCATGTAAGTCACTGTGAATATTCCTTGATTTAAACACTTTAAACAAGCCAAGCACAATACCACGATTACGGTTTATAGCTTATTAAAGATATATATGGGCCTCTCTACTAATTTTTCAAGTTGCACATGTAGTCAAAATCATTTCATTGATAGATTTATAGGAACATGAAATAATGATAAATTATGCATACATTTTATTTAATCATTCAAAAAGTTTAATTATTTTTAATTGACTTGTACAATGTTGTGTTTTAAGGAGAGGTAACTCAGGTGTGAAAAATGATCAACTAAGTGCCAATTTATGAGTTCTCGTTTGTAGGAATGACATAAAGCTATTTCTTCATTGGTATTGTTATGTTTACAAAAGGTTTTCTTAAATTGTCTTGACCAAAAGAAGGATAATGTCTTCACTCTTCATCAAATGAATGGGAAACAGACTATATTCAGTATTTTAACTATCTTTGACGACTGTTATAAGAAAGAAAATAGAATGACATGTTTTTTGTGCGCACTTTTGCGCTTCCTATATAAGTATACGATGGTTGTCCGATAAAATCTTTGATAAGTTGTCTAGTGTAAGAAATAATCATTTCTCTTAAGTACATAATATGAATATACATAACAAATTTCATATATATATACATATATATATATATATATATATATATATATATATATATATATATATATATATATATATATATATATATATATATATATATATATTTATATATGCCCATATATATATATATATATATATATATATATATATATATATATATATATATATATATATATATATATATATATATATGCATAAATAAACAAATTATGAGATTTTATGTTATGCATTATATCGCCTTACAGCGCACGGATGATAACGACAAATAGTCAAATCAGCAGAACGTTTCATATTTGATAAAAAGTTGGATAAGTCCAACTTTCTAGGAATTGAACTGATGCACATGCTTGGGTCTACATAAACAGTTAAGGAACTAATCTGGCACACACATGCGATCTTCTGAAGATTAATTAGCAAGTTACAAACAAATATTCTCACCATCATTCAACTAATAGATAATCTTATATCGACGGTTGGCAGTGACAGCGTATTTTGCTATTACAAGAGTTTGTCCGTATGTTAAATACTTTTTGGGCACTCGATTAAACAAGAGGCCCATGGGCCATATATTGCTCACCTGAGTAACTTGGGTGATGCGGTTCTTTACCAGATTCCCCCTCTTGCTGAACCTATCATGCCCAACTACCCCCTTCCCTTTTATGATTTTGAAACTTCAGAATCTATACAATGCAAAGATGCTATCATCTAAAGTTCAGCTTTCCTGGCCCAGTGGTTCATAAGAAGAAGATTTTGTAGGATTTTTTTCTGTATATTTCTATGTAAAATTTGGATTCCCTATTGTGGCTCCGCACTACCCCTGGGGGTCATGATTTTAATAATTTAATATCATCACTACCCAAGGATGCTTCCACATTAGTTTCAGCTTTCCTGGCTTAGGGGTTCTTGAGAAAAAGATTTTTTAGTGACCCCACCCTATCTTTGTCTTTTCTTGATTATCTCCCATCGTAAGGGAACTTGGCCGTTTAATTTTACATTTGTAACTCCTCTTTATTCAAGGATGCTTTGTACAAAGTTTGATTAAAATTGGCCCATTGGTTCTTGAGAAGAAGTCGAAAATGTGAAAAGTTTACGGACGGACAGCTAGACGCACGGACGGACGAAGGACAAAATGTGATAAGAAAAGCTCACTCGAGCCTTCGACTCAGGTGAGCTAAAAAGACATCGCTAAGAAAACTCCCTTTTTATTTGTATATTCAAGATCTGTTGACTTTTTCACAAAAAATTTTACGTCTAAGACTTAAGCTTTCACCCATTCTAAGACACATATCTAAGCTGAAAAAATTACATTTCTATTACATCTTATAAATATTTCAGTGATAAACTTGTAAATAATTATTTACAAAAAATCCTCATGAAATGAACAATTTCAGAATGTTGAAGTCTTAGTCATAAGATTTTTTGTGAAAAGAGTCACTGATAATATTTTCATATTTTTTCTTCTGTATTTATAGAGAGTCTCTAAATAAGGTGTCTTTACAACCTCTAACTCATAATGAACTTACATCCAGTGCACCATAGTGTCATCAAAATCACATTTTTCGTGTGTTTATTTTACCTTTTCTCACTTCAAAGCTCGGGAGACTACCAAGAATTAACCAAATAAACTGACAGTTTTTAATAAACAATAGAAAAGATTGTGGAGTCGAATTTGGACAACTTTTATCTCAATCTTATGTATGAAGGATATGGATTTTAAACTTCTATTTCTAATTAATACTTGTATAATTCCATGTTCATTTTATTTATCGATTCCCTGTGTTGGACGAGAACTCGTTTTAGAAAAAAAGTTTACATATCGATAAAATTTTCAATCGGAACTTCGTTCTTTACCGAGCTGCTGGGCTATCGTAAACAAATAAATCAGTTAAATTTCTGGCCTGTTTTAGCTAAATTATGAATACAAGAAACTTAAATTTAATTTAATAAAACAATGCTGTCAACAAACAAGACTAACCAACTGACAGACGCCATGAAAATGACGCCACTGTCGGATCACGGTTGTGAATTTTAAAAATCGCTGATGTAATATTCTCGATGTTTATGAGACGAAGAAAATCAGCTCAGTTTGTATCGTTATGACCGAGAAAATTAACATGCCTCAACCTCTTGCCTAATTAGCATCAAATTCATATTTACTTTCTATATTGTTGCCCAATCTTTGAACAAACAAGTGCAAATCGCAGGCGTCGTCGGTCTGCAACTTTCGCTCTGAGAGTTGTCGTTAATGTCAACATGGCCATGGTCAAGGATGAACTATTCTGAAGTGAACTGGTAGTTACGTTATTTGTTGACTTAAACATCATTCAATAAGTCTTTATAGGTTTATTCATCGATTGTTTTGACAATCTAAGCTGAACTCTATCGAAATTCATCTCTATTATGTGCCTTTGCGGTATAAAGTATTCCTACGCCGTCCAGATATAAATGATTGTATGAAGGCCTCAAAGAGAAAAAAATTAAATACTTTCATAAAATCCTTATTGGAATTACTGAGTATAAGAATAAACGTTCTTTTTGAAAAAAAAAATCGATGCGTAAAGTCTTGACATTTTACTCACAAATATAACATAAAAGTGCTTTGCAATTTTATTTAGTTTGTGAGTAATATGTCAAGAGTTTACACACCCAGCACAGTTAAGCATACAAATAGAATAATCGTCGTTTTCTTAGTTTTGAAAAATACATACTTTAATAGAATGGGCGATTCTTTTTAGGACTTCACGGATAAAAAAAGAATGTAACGTGGTTTAAATCTACTTGTTGGGGACATTTAGATTTTTTATTTAGACTTGTCAAGTGATGTCGACGTCACTTGATTTTAACAATTATACCTGCTGTTTAGAGGTCATCTATAAATTTCAATATTGCAAGGGCATAACCAAGTTAAAAATCTTAGTTTAGTTTATAATCCTTATCTACACTATATGTAGTTTGTGAAAAGTGTTGCGAACCTATATAGATTCCAATTTTTAAATGCTAAAATTTAATTTGTTGGGTGGCAGTTTGAATATTTTCTGGTCAACTACATTAAATATAGCTATAATTAATCTATTTGCAAGATTTCATGAGGTTTGCAGCACTTTTCAAATATCTTAATGCATGTTCAATTAATATGTAAAAACTTTACAAGATACATTGAGGGTATGCCCTTGCAATTAATTGATTAATTAGGGCCCTTCCAGTACTTTTTCAATGAATCTGCATGCAAACACACGACAGTATCGCTTGCCTGGAAAATGTACAAACAGTTTATAAATTAAGGTCAAGATCTAATAAATAACTTGAGACTGATTTTTTGGTGTTAGATCCATTTTGACGTCATAATCAATTTCAACTTTTTTTTTCCGTACTTTACGGCTTTAGCAGAATTATGTAGAAAATTGGGTATTTTCGAGTCATTCAATTTGAAATCATATGAAAAGTAAACCGGATACCTATATTAAATTTGATATTGATTTATAGAAGAGGCCATGAACATACTAAATACTGTTTTCTGAGAGACTGTAGGCAATCTGGATACATTTTCTTTGCCGAATACAAAAAAAACCCCGATATTCATGACTGGTTCTTCGTAATTTTTCATTGAAAATGACAGTTTAAAATACAGTTTTTCATCTTGTTTACCTACAAATTATGCCCCGAAACACCTTATTTAACCAAGCTCAAGTTGTAAGGAATCAATAAAGGAATTTATTTCTCAAGTTTGATCAATCTGTAGGCACCTTAAATTTACAAGATCTTGACCTTAAATACTAAAATAGATATCGCATCCAAGTGAACAACCTCTCATTTAACTGCTCAAGTTTGATCAATCTGTAGGCACCTTAAATTTACAAGATCTTGACCTTAAATACTAAAATAGATATCGCATCCAAGTGAACAACCTCTCATTTAACTGCAAATGATATTTTATTTGAGAATAAAATACAATTTTCAATGTACAAACTATGACTTGATCAGCCTCTCCCTGTGTACAAACTGCGTCATTTTTGCGATATGACGTCACATTGACAAGTGCATTGCGATCGATGCATTCTTTTATATACTGTGTTGTGGGATTTAACAAACGACAAAATTGCATGTAATACCGTATAAGTAGAAATTTTAGCGAGACGCAAATTTAGCGATTTCTCCTTAAAAACGGGTATTTTATTTTTAGCGAGAAGAAATTTTAGCGATTTTAAAATGCTCACTTAAGAAGCTAGTACAAATAACACGCAATTTATTTTTAGCGATATTCAATTTTAGCGATCTCAACAGCCTCGCTAATAATGCCAAAATTAAATCCTCGCTAAAATTTCTACTTATACGGTATTTAGTTTGTATGTAGTTTTCAGCCATCCAGCTGTATGAAATAGCAAATGGTATTTTTAATACATATTATGTGTGACGTCATAGTAAACATTTCCCGTATAAATCAGGTCCGCCTCCTTACTGTAGCCGAAACTTTGCTGCGCATCGAGACAATTTTCAAAAAGAACGTTTATTCCTATAATATTCTCTTATAAAACCTTTTTTTTTTTACCGTGCGCCTAAGGACCTTACCCTGTGCACATTCAAGCATAAATAAAATCTTTATTTTGATCTATAGATGATCGAAAAAAATATTATGCACTTATATGTGATGAATAAACATTTACTGAACAATACAGCTTAGTGCGTTCATCACTTTTTGAGAAAAAAACGCTTTGTCCACTATTTTACCTGACAACCCTCGTATATATTTTTACAAGTAAATGCAAGAATTAATTATTTTATTTTTATTTTAATTAAAACTATTACTTTTATCTAATTAAATGGTGTCCACAACTATATAGTAAATAAGTTTGACATAAGTCCAAAATTTAAAACTACTGGATTCTATTGAGAGCAAAGAAGCACTTGGGAAATGCTAAAGCTGACTTGCGTATAAACATTTAGATACCTCAGACCTGTTCTACACAAGTTTCAGCAACGATTTATTGTTCATAACAGCAAACCATAGCGGCAGTTGAAAGGCCTGCTATATAGCTTTATCAAGTTACATGTATTAAAAATATCTGGATCCAGGTATTTTAAGTAACACAAATTCGAAAAATTCTTTAAAAAATCAAATGCTGAAAATAGAGTTCTGAGTTGTTGTCAGTAATTTCACTATGCATGTAAAGTACTCAAACACAAAGAAAATGTAAAAACATGTCGTGTGAGGAGATGCTCTTTTATGCTGTCTTTTTGATATCAGAGTACTTTTCATTCATGGATAATTTACTAACAACAACTCAAAACTCTACTTTCAGTATTTATTTTTTGAAGAATTTTATAAAGTATTTTGATCAAGGTTTTTGAAATTCCTTGATAAACCTAGATAGCTTTATCAAGCTATATACCTTCATCATGGTATCGTGCTGGACCTGTTTAGGTAACCAACACATACATGTATCAGGACTTAATTTTCTAACCTTGTATATCATTTTTCTAATTAAATACTTCGATATTTAAAAAAAAATACCACATTATCGTTTACTTTTTGTATAAATTACATGTATCATACATCGGTCAATTTTACAAGAAACAAATAACAGTTGAATTTTATTACATAGCTTGTGCAGAACTTAAACTTTCTTTTGGTAATGTGGTAAACTGCTCGGATATTAACGGGGAGAAAGTGTGTGAAGTATCTTGTATAGTGGGATACACGTTTGTACCAGGCAATCTTCCTCTAAAGGAGTATAGATGTGGACAAAGCACTGGTTATACTTGGAATGGTCTTACACCTGCTTGCGGGAGTAAGTATTCTCACAAAATCATTCTTATGATACGCAAAATTCTTTGCAATGCATAATTGCCCATCATGAATCACCTTTGCTTTTCTCCTCAGAGGCAGAAATGCCCGACAGATTATCATCAACAACTGTAGTCGAGTACAACTCTTCAATTTCATGTGTCGACTCATCGACTGTCTTAAATACTCTTCAGAGTAATTTAGAATCATCATTGTCGTGCTACAAACATGGGATATGTGAGCTATCAACAACAATCAATGGTTTGCAATTGAATTCCATACTAATTAACTGTTACAATAAAATTATTTCCTTGTTACCTAATCATTATGTTGCATATCCGTTTGATAATTTTTAGGCAGCTTTGGGTATTTTGGTTACAGCCGTAATATTTCTTTTACCATTGCATTAACATCAACACAGCTTCTGGGTACAAATGTTGTATAATCCAATTATTTGAAAAGATTTAAATAAGGTCACCGAAAAGAAAGTTACATTGTCCACATTATAAAATGTTCGACTTAAAGGAAAAGAAGATAAATTCCTACTTACTCTTGGGTGTCCGAGGTTGAGGTGAGTTAGTAAGGGTATTTGGCACCAAGCATTCGCATTAGGTGCCAAACTTGACAAACAACTCGAACACTACCAACTTTAAATATCAAGCAATCAGTCACTTCCAACCCTCACCCATTCTGACCTAAACACCTATGACTTTAAACATTTTCAAATCAACCAATGACAACTTAATGAATATGAATGTGACTTCTCGAATGAACACATAGTAAATTCAATAGAACTATATTTCCCAATGCTGTATACATGAAAATGATGACAGTAATGATAGGATAAGTAGTATATAAATGTATAATTGGGTCAACACATTATAAATTCAAATATATAATATGTATTTATTATAATAAAAAATATTCAATCTGTCTCATTCTCCAACTCTGAAAATGAAATGCCTACTAACATTTCAAGTATGGACTATCACATCTAACATAAAAATGACCAGTTAATTTAAAACTATAACATCTGATATTTGATACTTGAGCATTGTTGATGCCTTCTCCTACAAACAAAAAGACTGTAATGCATTATTAACATGAGTTCTGATGCTTATGATCAATTAAAGGATCAAGCATAATTCGATGAAAATCATAATACGCTTGTCTGAAAAACAATTCATGATTAGAATCATAAAAAAAATAAATTAAGGTAAAACCCTTAGATTCTACGATCCGTTAATTTTGTCCATAAAACTGCAATACACACCTATTGTATATCATATTTTAGATCATCAATAAACTTAACTAAGTTACCCATCTTAGTAAAATACTAAAATTAAAACCATAAAAAACCTATAAAACAACTATTATATGCCATACCAAACCTGAGCACACTGTTCACCAACTGCCATTTCACCGTATCTATCTTTCACGGAATATGATATTCTTTAATTTAGGACTTAATTGTGATCAGATTTCTCAACCTTCTAAACATCAATATTTGTTTACAAATTTCGGGAACATATTAAAAAAATATACTGATTTTGAGTCTTATTTTGTAACATTTTTATTTATTTTCTTAAATTAAACGCAATATTGGTTTTTTTTACAGAATGTGAAGATAAAATAGAAACAAACTCTTTGCAAATAATCTTGACGGCAACACTTCCTCACGAAGATTTGGATTTAGGACATTTCTATTCAACAGGAAACTGTAAGTCAAAAAAAATTAACAAGTTGTGATTATTGATATCTTTGAATTATCAAATAAGTACCAAAAGTAATCCATACTATATGATCTTTCTGAATATTTTTCAAATTGAAACTAGAATGATTATACGTCAAAACGTATCTGTCTTATAAATGAATGAAAATTTATTTAGTAATAAAAACATTTTAAATATAATACATATATATAGCAAATAGGATACTCCAATAGGTCCATGATATTTTATGCTTTCCGTTTTTCATGAAACAAAATATAATACTGTTATTAGAAAATAATAATAAATATAAGTTATCCAGTTGCTAGCAAGAAAAGGGTCTTACGTCTCTTTTCTGTTAAGATAAAGGTGACATTCAAATAACGTGATATCAATAAATTGCTAAGACAAACAATTTTGCTTCAGTAATTTTTTTTCAAAATATTGATATTTCAGAACCTAGATTATAAAACTTTCTAACCGACATTTTAATCTCATCCAAAGTAAAAGTTCGTGAGGTTTTCAGAACACCAAATGTCCGACTCTTTGGCAGTCTGTAAACTTTTCACATTTTCAACTTCTTCTCAAGAACCACTGGGCAAATTTTAATCAAACTTACTACAAAGCATTCTTGGATAAAGGGAATTTATTTTGTAGAAATGAAGGGCTTACCGCCCTTCCAAGGTGTGATAACCAAGAAAAGACGGAAATAGGATAAGGTCATTAAAAAGTCTTCTTCAAACTAGACCAGGAAAGCATATGGAAGTATTCTGGGGTATTGTAGATTCTAAATTGATTAAATCACAACCTGCGGGAGTAGGACAGGCCCACAATAGGGAATCCAAGTTTCATATTGAAATACATAGGAAAAAACTTGTTCAAAATAACCAACTCATGATCCCATGGCAAAGGGTTGGACCACATTAGGTTTACATGGGGAGGAGGGGATTGAATGCGGTAAAGAACAGCATGGTCAAAGTCACTCAGGTGAGTGTTCTTGCCCATGGACCTCTTTTTTTAAGTCACTTTTAATAATGATGATATTGCAAGCATGTGGTTCACAAACATTGAATTAATCGAACTTCTCTCTTCATTGCCTATTATGAAGCTTGCATATACACACAGGCAAAGAAAAGGGGATAAGTCATCCCGTATTCTCAACCCTTACTATCTAACTTTCATACAGAAGTGCGTCTTGGAAAAACAGTTACTGTAAAACGAGATAATTTGGCGCATACATATTTTAGCGCAAACGCAAGTGAGAAAGCATTGGCGCAAATAAATTTTAGCGCTTGCGCTTGTCATTAAAAAAATTAATGTGATATTTATTCCTTTGATCCACGCCCGTATTTTATCTTGTGGTCACTCAAGCACGCAAACACAATAGAATTGATTTTTAACTTACGTACACAGGTAAATGTACGCTCACTTTTCCGTAGTGTTGGACGGGGCACAATGTCCATTTTTAACTATTTTAATAAGAGAAAACGTGATGAGTTTCTTCCCGACCCAGAGAAGGAAAACAGTAAAGAAGCGGCAGACCTATGTGAATATATCAATAATTCTTTAGAATTGCCTAAAACACCAAAGCGAGAAAAGCGTGGTACCTACAATGTGTATTCACCGGAGGTCAGGGCAAAAATTGGAAAATATGCATTAGAGAACGGAGTAATGAATGCATCCAGACATTTTACTTCACAGCTTGGTTCACCAGTGAGGGAAAGTACTGTACGTAATTTGAAAAAAGCGTATGTTAAAAGCAGAGAAAAAACACCAACACGGAGAGTCTTGGAATTACCAAAGGCCGACAGGGGACGACCATTGATGTTAGGTAGTTACGATGAAGTTGTTCAAAACCACATAAAAAAATTACGTTTAAACGGTGGTATTGTTAATACATACATCGTCATGTCTATCTCACGTGCAGTGCTTATGTTTCACAAAAAATCGCTACTTAGTGAATTTGGTGGACCCATTACAATAGAAAAGTCTTTGGCAGAATCTATCCTCAGAAGAATGGGTTATTCAAAACGAAAGGGAACTAAGTCTGTAAAAGTCCTTCCTAGTGATTTTGAAAACGTGAAGGCAGTTTTCCTAGAGAGAATCACAACAGTTGCTAAGAAACACTCTATTCCTAAATCGTTGGTAATTAATGTTGATGAAATGGGTATCAATATTGTTCCCGTCGGAAACTGGACAATGGATTTGGAAGGAAACAAACAAGTGAAGATTACGGGTTTAGATGATAAACGTCAGATTACAGTAACATTAGCCTGCACAGCATCGGGTGATCTCCTAAACCCACAAGTCATTTACGAGGGAAAAACACCATCGTGCCATCCCAAATTCAAATTCCCCGATGGCTGGGCCATTACCCAGTCGGAAAATCACTGGGCAAATTCAGAGACCACGAGAGAGTAAGTATGATCTAATTAATTTTTTTAAAATCAAGGAAAAAATTATACTTTATGAAAAAAAATATTTATTAGTATGAATTATTCATTTCAACGATAACATTTTCAGACTTGTAAATTCAATCATCATTCCCTATGTAAAGTCAACAAGAAAACGACTCGGAATCAAAGCGACATCCAAGGCGTTGCTATTGTGGGACGTTTTCCGGGGTCACCAGGACGAAGAGGCACGCACAATTCTAAAGCGAAACCACATTGAGCTGGTCTACATACCCCCAATTGCACTGACCAATTACAACCTCTAGACCAGCTGGTAAATAAGGAGTTTAAAGGAGCTCTCAAGAAAGAATTTCAAAAGTGGTATGCAGACTGCATTCTCAACAAAATGTCAGAAAACGGCGTCGCTAACGACAACATGGTGTCCTCCATAAGCCTAAAGTTATCCGTACTAAAACCCATACACGCGCAGTGGCTCGTCCGTGCAGTCGACACTATAGCAGAGAGAAAGGAATTGCTTTTAAAGTCGTTTGAAACAACAGGAATTCTGGATGTGATATGATGATGCTTCTTTAGTGTAACTTGTGCATTTTATTACGATTTTTTTTGACACTCATTTTAAAATCGTTTTATAATTGAGATTTTTATGAACACAAAACACTCTTTTTTTTTTTTTTACCTGTGAATTAATGTACTTCAATAAATGATTGTAAGCTGTTCAAGCATTTTATTAATATTAAAACCACGCATGCATCGAAGGGCAGTTACTTAGATAAACGGTAAACATAATCAGGTACATGTATTGTCTGCAAGGTCGATCGATATGCTTGATCGCTTTTTTCACCTCGAGGCGATAAATGATTGATACGACTAGAAGGTGCTAATCATGGGTACTGGCCTGGGTGACAGGTAACAGTAGTTTAATTAATTCATAATTGGGAGAATTTACTCAATCAATCCTACTTGTAACAGTTTACCAGTGTGTACACTAAAATAGAGTGACCTTGCGACATTACGTAATCGCACGTACGGATTTACATGTGCTTTATAGATCGTTTTGAACACAAGAAATCTTTAATATTTGGAAATCCTTTAGCGCACAATAAATTTTAGCGCACAGGGACGTTTGCGCCAAAGGCGCTAAAATTAGTAGTGCGCCAAATATTCTCGTTTTACAGTACTTCGAATTTGACACCCACAATCCATAGATCCAGATATCTGTAAAATCAAAATGTATCAAATAATACTATACAATTATTGCTGGTTTTTGAGGTCAATACAATGCTTTAGCCATCTGAGGAGTACAATATTCACCGAGCCCGAAGGGCGAGGTGAATATTGTATTTCGAAGATGGCTAAAGCATTGTATTGACCGAAAAAGCCGCAATAATTGTTTTATTATATGATTCACTGATAAAATCATACAGCTCATTACTCGTTTGCATTTTATTAAGTCCTAGCCAAATATAAGAGAGAAGCAGAATTAAAATGTAAATAAACCTTACCAGTCGTGTCAATCTGAAATGTTTTTTTTTTTAATAAATTTTAGTTTCCGTGAAAGAAATATAAAATGTCATGCAGTCTTTTTTATAGGATAGATTTTGAAAGGAAGGAGTATTATTAGGGAAAACTGACTGCCAAAAAGTAAAAAGAAAAATTGTTCAGTAAAAGTGTTGGAGGGGGGTCCCTGCAGTCCCTCTTACCACCCTCACCTACAATATATATCCGCTTATAATTTGTTCACATGAAAATAAACATCATAGTCGTTTAAATAGCTTTTTAAAATAATTTGTATAAATTTGGAATTTCCCAATCTATCTTTAGATCAATGTAGAGGAGATAAATCCTTGTATTGACCTGGAACGTCACGTGTAGGTCAATACAACGTATTATTTTTCTAACATAGTTGGATCTCAGCCAATCAGAGAGATTGAAATTATTCAGTCATATAATAAAATATATTATTGCAAAAACCCATCATGTAAGCAAAATTATCTTACGGCTTTTACCGACATAATGCTTTTAAAACACAATCAGAGCTTGAGGCAGATACTTATAGAAATACCATATATATGTGCTTTTCCAGAAACTATACTCGAAGAGACATTTGTAAATTTTCACTCCATCAACACATTTTAGTAAACTAAAGGCAGTTCTTTCTTTTATCACGTACATGTAGTCAGTACTTACTAGTATATGCTTGGTTACTCTACATACTACAATCTTTAAAATTTAGCCAAATTAAGCATAAATATTATAGAATCGTAATGGATGAATTCCCAAACTACAATCATGTATTCATCTTTTTTCACATTATTTCATTAATCATACAACTGCTTACAAGTTCTACAATCACTACTTCACTTCAGTATCTGCTGTGATTTGGTGCAGTCTTCTGTATATTAATGTAATTGTAGTATTTTTTTTATTTTAATAGTGAGCAAAGCTTTACAAAGTTTAGTAAACATAGTGACAGAACTTGAAAATTCTACGAGGAAAATAAACGAATCCATTGAAATCCTTTCCTTCAACATGGGCGGGGTTAAATATTTGCCTTCAAGTCAACAAGCTACAGGAACCGTTGTGTGCAGACTTGGACAAGGCAGCGATGGGCCCATTTGCAGTAAGATACCTCAGCTTATACGGTTATTGAGCAATTGTACTGTGTGTGAGAGGGTGTGTGTGTGTGTGTGTGGAGTGTGAGGGTGTGTTTGTGTGTGTGTTTACAGTCTTTTTTTGTTGTTTTGATCCTTTCCATCTTCTTTCAACTATTAATAAACGTATAGTTTGTATCTTTAAATAAAAATCTATTTGTAAGGTCTTTCATCCAACCTGTGTAGTGGTCCTAAAATGGAGACATTAGTTAAACTTTTTTTTCGTTTCAAGTGAGCCGTTGCTGGCTTCAATTTGAAGTGCCTAAAATTAGTAAGTTACCTTCTGGGAAAAATGTAAACAATGGCAAGTGCTTGTGGTTGCACTGTCTGTCATATCAATGCTAACAAACTTTTACATTTGATTTTAAATTTAAACTTTTGATTCATTGTTTATTTTAAAAATAGATAACTTTAGTTTTATTATACCTCCTCGGGTTTTTCACTATATAAATGAAAATCGACATATTTTGCTGATGTCCTGAAAATCACCAAGAATAAACCCATTCCCTGCAAAACAGACTGATTCCCTGGAAAAAAGTTCGTTTTTTTGATGAACTGATACACCTATTCGGAACACAAAGCATTTTCTTTAAACTTACAACAAACTTGGAGATGTTCCGAAGAAACTCATGGATATTCATTTATGAATCGAAATGCATCGCCAGTCAACTGGTCCCATATCAATGAAAAAGAATCAGTTTACTAGTAGCAAGTGACAACAGAAATGGCGAGCTCAAGACCTGCGGTTTAACTTTTAGCAGATGAAGATTTAGATAAATAACTACATAAGTAAAAACTCGGAAAATGAACGTATTTAATGATAAAATGGAATTCCTTTTATGCCTGTATTCTGTTTTGTTGTTATTTTTATTTATTCCAGTTGGAATTCAATATTGTTACAGTATTGAATCAATGAATATAACTTTTTCAAATGTCTTGTTTGTATCGGTAAAATAACAGTTAAAGTATATCATTGAGGGAGTTAGCAAGATTCCAGTTCCCCTCGAGCAAGCTTATTTCCCTCGGGGCAAGCGCCTCGGGAAATAAACTTGCTCTTGGGGAACTCGAATCTTACTGACTCCCTCAGTGATATTCTTTAACTGTATAATATAATTATTCTCTGATATACACAAATGTACCTCACCGATCCTTATAATTATCTTATGGCGCTAGTAAATGAACCTCTTAATTACTCGTGAGACTCATTTCTTTTCGTTTTAAACATCAGACATACAGATTTGCGAGGAAATATGTGCAATGCGTCTAAAGGTTATATATATAGTATCTTCAAAAAACCAAGTTGATTAGATCATGTGACTCTGAGACGTCAAAGACGACATAGGCTGCTCAATATACATTGTAAATGAAGATAATGAACTTACAATCCATTCTTCGAACATTTGAAAGCTTCGTTTGTGAAAATGGCACATATACACGCAGACATATCTTGATGAGGAAAAACCACATCATGACACTGTATTAAAAATATAACTTTATATAAAACTATATTAAAAATATGCATGTTACATTTACTTCAATTTTGAATGATTTTGAATTATACTTATATCTTACAGTTGATTGTCCAATGGGCACATATTCAACGACTAGAAAATGTCTTCTATGTCCACAAGGAACTTATCAAAGTGAAATAGGAGGAACCAAGTGCACGAATTGTCCTTCTGGTTTAACTACAAAATATGAAGGATCTCAAGATGCTGCAAATTGTTCTGGTAATTTTTTTTTCGTATTGTGGACACTATAATGACACAAATAAATTGAACCTATGAAGTTTGAAAAATAAATTGCTGAGAATTTGAAGTATCAGAACATCGCATTTAAAAAAAAATGTATAATTATCTAAAGGTGTAAAATTATAACTTACACATGGAGGTGTCAAACAAATAAGATATCTACCAAATCCGTCGGTTTTCAAGTAGTTTACGCAAATTTGCAAAGTTAAGTAACATAATGTCAAGATTGCCAATTTTATTACAATACATTAATATCGATATTCTCCTTTTTATATAGTACTTTATTTAAATTTCTACAATTTAATATCAATTATGGTCAAAATTCTGTTTACATGCAGAATTTTTTAAGGTTAAAACGGCACAAATTAATGTTTTTATCTTGATTATTTCAGAAGTGACAAATACTACTCACGACGTCCCTTTGAAAATCCCAGAAAACAACACCTCGGGTAATTATATTTGATAAAAAAGTTACATCTATTCATATTTACCACCATTGATATCAGACTGTATGCGAACATGTAACATTTTTATTTTTAGCAGGTAGTGAAGCTTTGATTATTGCAGTTTCTCTGACAATCAGCGTGGTCCTTCTGATTGCACTTACTGTAATTATTCGGTGTTATCACATTAAAGTAATAAATAACAAGTAAGTTATTTATATATATATATATATATATATATATATATATATATATATATATATATATATATATATATAATATACGAGGGTTGTCCGGTAAAATCGTGGACAAATCGTTTTTCTCGAAAAGTAATTGGCGCACTAAGTTGAAAATTTCAGTATATGTTTATTTATCATATTTAAGTGCAGGATAATTTTTTAAATAAAATATAGGCAAAAATAAAGATTTTATTATTCTTGAATGTACACGAGGTATTGTCCTATGGCGCACGGTCAAAAAACTAAGGTTTTATTAAAAAATACACACGTTTGAATTCAAAATAAAAGTTTTAAATACATAAGATTTGGATTAAAATTATCCTAATTCAATTCCACAATCAATTTTATAGTCTTTGTACAAATTTTAAGACATTTGCTAAATTTTTGGCAGCTTCTAGAGCATTCGAAATGGGAAAGTGGTAAACACAACTCATAAAAAATGGCGACGTTTTATGACGTTACGGCGCACCGGAGAACAGTTCATTTATATTTCGATATTGTAATGACACCTTAAGAGACTTGCAATGACCATAGAAAAAAAGATTATAAAAATATCACCATATTTTAAGTATACAAATGAAATTGGAGTTTTCTTGGCAAAGTTTTTTTGGATTGAGTCCCTGGGGAGTACGAAACAAACGGACAAACTCATAGAATGTAATAACAAAAGACGCTGTCACAGTGGACGTGAATATAGATAATACATAGTAGATATGAGATTTTCTATTAGTTGACTGAGGGTGAGAATATTGTTCGTAACTTACTAATAAATCTTCAGAAGATCGCATGATGGTGTCAATGGGTTCTTCGGCTGTTTATGGAGACTAAAGAATGTGTATCAATGAAATTGCTAAATTTAAGTCGGATTCATCCAACTTCATTTTCAGCAAAGATAAATTTTGACGCTGTTTTAGACACTTTGACGTTATAATCCATGCGCCGTCAGGTGATACAATACATGGCATAAAATCTTATAATTTGTTTATTTATGCATATATTTATCTGAAATTTGCCGTGTATATTACTAAAATATGTATGAAATAATAGTGAAATTTTAAGAACGCAGATTTGTTTATTTTTCACACTAGACAACTTGTCCATGATTTTACGGGACAACCCTCGTATATCAATGTAATGTCTAACCGGTACGGGACTAATAAAATGATTAAGTTTTTGGATGGTAAGCTGCTAAGTGATATTTACACATAAGTTGAACATGATTTTTGAAATCTAACCATCATTCTTTTTAATGGTAACGTACTCGAAATGCGGGAATACAGTCATATAATTTTTGCCCGTCCGTCTGTGTTTTGTCTCTAAGTATGTTGTCCGTTAAATGTTTAACTTTGGTCAGACATTTGAGCACTCGCTTCGTGATGGGATTCGTTGATTCAAGGCCCGTCCGCGACTGGCCTTCGTTGCATTGATAAACTAGTGCTAATTGTAACGGGGACCGTTACAGATGTTCCCCAAACGCTCCCCAACTCCCTTTTGGTGCCATATTCCCTGTAAGCTTCATTACATAAGGCAAACTCTATGCATCTGAGATTTTAACAACATTTACTTAGAAGTGTACAAAAATCATTTAAACTTTAGCATTGCACGCGTGCACATGTGAATGCATTTGCGTCATAACCATATCATCTTGTCTACACAATCTATATTCTTAATACACTGAATATTAAAGTATTTAATCCAAAATTATTTAAAAAATACGTTCATTCAAGTGTTTGTTTGATTTTACTCATTTCACGTGCACGCACGTGCATACATGAGCATGGTGACCATACCTTCTTGTAGAAGTCCATTACATCTATCTATGTTCTAAATTCCACCCCGTTTGGGTGAAAACTAAGGGAGTTATAGCTGTTTAGAGCCAGTTTCAGCCAATCAGATTATTGCAGCACATGTACACGCACGTGTTTACATGTGCATGGTGACCATACCTACTTGTAGAAGTCCATTATATCTATCTATGTTCAAAATCTCATCCTGTTTGGTGAAAATCAAGGGAGTTATAGCTGTTTAAAGTTTCAGCCAATCAGATTGCAGCACATGTACACACACGTGTTTGCATGTGCATGGTGACCATACTTACTTGTAGAAGTCCATTATATCTATCTATGTTCCAAATCCCACCCTGTTTGGTTGAAAACCAAGGGAGTTATAGCTGTTTAAATTTTCAGCCAATCAGATTGAAGCGCACGTGCATGCACGTGTTTTCATGATAATTGCTTTATTTCCTGTTGTAGGAAATCCTAATGCATGGCTATGTTCAAAATTTCAAAAGATTTCGTCAAAAAACAAGAAAGATATTGAGACTTTAGTTGCAGCCAATCAGAGCGAAGTGCACGTGCATGCGCGTGAAACATTGCTATTTTCACCATGTTGTCATGTCTATACTACTAATATATCCTCACATTATGAGTTTCAAAGTATTTCATCTAAAAATAGAAAAGTTGTGGCTATATCTATTATATTGGTCATTTCACGTGTTGCACGTGCACGCTTTTGCAAGCACGTGCGCGCAAAATGACCTTGATTCCACAAATCTACATTACATGTCTACTAACCCTAAAAAGGTTTTACCTACATTGGACGAACAGTTTACAAGATCATTCCCGGACAAAAAAGTTCCAGGAAGAAGAAGAAGAAAAAAAATAATAATAATAAGAAACAGAGTAAAAACAATATGTTCCCCAACTTCGTTTGGGGAACATAACAAGCTAATTCAGAGAATTTGTGTCCCCTGCTTAGGGAAAATAGAAAAACATGCGCAGCTCTGTCGAGGAGGCAGTGGGGTTCAGATCCCCCCGACTGAATTTGTAAAATTTTGAAATTATATGTAAACGCTAGGTCACATACCTGTTTATATTTACCATCGCTTTTCTCAAAATTTTACACAATGCATGGTGTTTAATTTAGCCTTTTTTAATCAGTTCTACGCTAAAAGATGTAATAAAACTGATTATTACCTAATCAAGTGAATTTTGTTGTTTTATTAGAGATTTAATATTTTCATCTATTCTGGATGTGTTTTCAGTTTTACTAATCCTTTCAAACCGATCTATTGACCGGTCAATAGAATGCGCGTTCTATTGACCGGTGACGAATTTCGTAAAAAACGATCCGGGTTTCGAATTTAGTTGTTTGTAACACTGGACAGACATGGCAAACAATAATCTTATTCGATCTTTCTGCATTGGTTTTAAAAATTGTGTGATTTCAATGGTCGGATATTTTATTTAATGAGAGTTACTTTTAATTAATACACTGTGGGATGTGGAGACTGGTTCTTCGGGTGAGACCTATCAACCGAGGTCCCGTGTAGCAGTAGGTGCTCTGTTGGCACGAAAAAGGTCCACCGGGAAGTGGTGACATGTCCATAAGAGTGAAAAATTTTTGAGAGGAATTTAAACAATAGTCTATACATTCAATCTTTAATTAATATTACAGATGCACCATATCTAGGTAAAAATTAACAATATGGTACGGGAACCTTATGTACTGAATATACAATTGTGAACACTTAATACGGAAAATAAAATTAGGTAATAAAACAATTATTTAATGCCTGGGCAGTCAATAGACCAGAAAATTTTTCCTGAGGTGCAGGGAACAGCTCAGTGTGTTCTATTGCCCGAGACCGCTGGCCTCGGGCAATAGAACACACAGAGCACTTCCCTGCACCTCGGGAAAAATATTCTGGTCTATTGACTGCTCAGGCATTAAATAATCGTATAACATTCCACCGACAACCTGTATTACACGTAATAATTCTCCATATGCCCCTGTGCTAAAAATAATGCCAATCGACACGTAATCTATACTTATAAATTAATAAATTTTGCAAATAAACTCCGAAACGGGTGCACAAGAGTTCTTACTTACCCCTCTGATACAACACTACATACAAGATGATGTCCGTAAACTATATTTAGATTTCACTCGGATAGTAAGTATCGTACATAAAATTAAAAGTCTACTTCAATTTTCTGAAAACAGCCATGAAATAGCATCAACGTGAGTATTGTGGCGTTTCCGGTTGGCGGAACCTAGCTACTGACAAGTTTTAATGAAACTGGCAGCAAACAATCTATTATTTATTTCATAAAATGTCATCACTGAATTATTCAATCAAAACTTGATTTACGGATAAAAGATAAATAAGTTGTGGTAACCAATTAAAAAGAGAAAAGTGTAAATTGTTTTCGTCAATCACCGATCTCAATATTGACGTAAGCTTCTAGAACATCACATCCCTTTTGCTACATTGTTTTAATCAAGAAATAATAAT